CCGCCGCCAATCAGAGCCGGCGGATCCGGGCTGGAGAACTAGCGTCCGGGTGAGGCTGCCGGGAGAAAGGGCGGAGAGGGAAGAGGCTCTGAGTTGGGAGGGGGCTAGTGGTGGAAGGGGGCCTGGCACTGGTTCTGCCAGGCTGGAATTCTACGGGGTAGGTCCTAGTGAAAGGCGAAGAGACCAAAAGTGGGCGGGGATCGGGGGTGGGGCCAGGGACAAGCTGAGGATCCTGGGGAGACGCGGAGAAGATAAGAAGGGGTAGGACCATAGAGGGGCGTGGTCTGGGCTACAGAGGAGGAGCCCAAGGAATTCAAGAAACTAGGGAAGGGGACGAACCCGGGAAGGTGGGAGGTGGGACAAGGGAGAGGGTGGGCCCGGGCGTTGCGGGGGCGGGGCTCGGACCTAAGGGGCGAGGTTTGCAGACCGAAGCTGCAACTAGAACCGCTTGGTAATTGCACCAGTCCACTATCTCCCCAGGTGCAACGGGACTCACGGAACTTACAGGTGTGGGGCGGAATGCGGGAAGAAGGGACAAGCACGAGAGTGCGCTTGGGCAGATGTGAGGAGGTGGAGGATATGTTAGGGAAGGAGAGGATCTGTAGCTTGACTGCTAGGGGGAGGAAAACAGTTGGGGAGGAATTGGGCTCAATGTGTGGGCAAAGAGGTGCATTCTTTAGGGACTCTCGTGGGGGAGGGGCGGGAGTGCTTTGTGGGAGTGGAAAGTACTAGGTGAGAGAGTGAGGTTGCTGTTTGATGTGCAGGGTTGAAGGCGATACTTGAGGGGGAGGGGATCTGAAGGCACTCTGGGGGAAGGAAGTGCTGTGTAATGAAGGGCTGGTGGTCCAGAGTGTAGGAGCACGGAGGGGCTGTGTGGAGAAAGACGTTATGGGGCTGTGGGCACTGTGTGAGAGGAAGGGGTTGTTGGCCTCAATTGAGGGGGCAGAACCTCTAGTGTTTTGAGAAAGTAATAGTCTGGGGGCATTGTTGAGATTCCAGAAAGATGTTTGTGTACTGTGTTCCAGGAGTGAGAGTGGTGGAATTAATAGGGTGACTCCTCAGCTTCTAACTCCACCTTCTGGCCTGAGCACGCTTAGAGGAGCCAGGCCCTGCTTGCCACCAGGGCTTGTGCTCAATCTGCTTTGGATCTGTCTGGCTGAGACTGGAGGTTTCTTCCCCTAGCTGATGTCCCTGGGGACCCTTCCCCCAGTCAGTTCCTGTTAACCCCCACTCTAGTTCCTGTTCCTCCCAGAAGCCTGCCTTGGTCCCTATCTTCCCCCTCCCCTCCCCCTTTGCCCTGCCCTTATGCTCTGGGTGTGCTCATTTCCCACTTCCTTCCTCGCCCTGGGGCCTGGCCTGGTCCTTGCCCATCTAGGAGCTGTGTGTGCCCTGCCCTCAAGTTTGCACTCAAAAGCCAGACCCTTGTAACCAGCAACAAGGCCCAGACCCCACCCCGCACTACTATCGAGGTCTCTCCCAACAGCCCCCAAGTGACTGGTAGCCATATTTTTACCACTTGCCACAAACTGATTTTCCCTACCTTTTTTCTTCTACTGAGTGGGGAAGCATAAGGCCCTCAAAAATTCTGGGCTTCTGTGGGCGGTGGGAATAGTGAGGAGTATTGAGGGTCTTTGATCTGTTTTAAGAGGTGGGCCATCACTGTAGGCTGACCTAGGGAAAGGTTGTGGTTCCAGCCTCAAATGGGGGAGGAAGAGGGAATGGCTTCCCACAGTCCTGGCTTAGAAGCTGACTCTCAGAACTGAGACTAGAGCCTTGTCCTCTTGGGGGCTCCTCTGATTCCCTGAGGGGACTTGATGTAATGCCAAGAGTTCTTTTTGCCCCTTGGCTGACTGGGAGAGGGTGGGAAAGGCCTGCCTTCCACACTGTGGCTGAATGAGTGTGACAGGGCTGCTGAAAGGGGCCCCAAGCCAGCCTCCTCTAGCTGAGACACTGGCTGGAGAGGGAGGGGGTGCTGAGGCCAGACAAAGCCATGGGGTAGGGTGGGGTAAAAGAGGGCAGGCTGATGCCTTTTGAGGAGGAGCTGATTGCTATGGCAACACAGCTTCCCAGACCGTCTGTCAGAGAGGCAGGCCTAGGGCAGACTCACTCCAGCTTCCTCAGGATTGAGGCATTTGTGTGAGTGGGTGGGGCGTGAAGAAAAAGGGCATTAGTTTGCTGTGCTGAAGCTGGAGCAGATAGCTTTTCTACTTTGGTACAAGCAGCAGGGCATTCAGACGCTTGGACTCATGTTCTGAAAATGGATATGAGTGAACAATAGCCATTAGAATTGTAGCGATATAAGGCCAGAGTTGCAGAGGCCCTAAGTGGTCATCGTTTATGCAAACCTCTCATTTTACAGATTTGGAAATTTATGGCCAAAAAGATCGATTTTCTCCAGGTTTCACAGTGAAAGAGCAGGAATTAGGATCCACGTCTCCTGATTACTGTTCGCTCAGCCCAGGGCTCACTGTTCTTTCAGCTAATGTTTGTTGAGCACATAGTATATGCCAGGCACTGATGTTGATTCTGGGAATACAGCATGAACAAAACAAAGTTGCTGCTCTTATGGAGCTTCCATTCTAATGTGGGGGGAGAGAGAAAGAGAGAATGGCTAGCTGCCGATAACTGCTAGAAAAAAATAAAGCAGGGTGAGAGTTAGGGCAGGTGGATAAGGCCTCTTAATTATACCATGCTGCTTTTCTAAGGCACACTGAGGCCTAGAACATCTTTGATCTTTCCCTCTGAACTATTGCCCCCTAACCTTTGCAGGTAACTAAGTCCTGGACCTATGGTTGTGGCAGTAAGATAGAATAAAGTGAGATCGCCAAGGGATTATTCCTTCCCTACAGTGTTCTGTGTCTACCTGTCTACCCAGTAAGCTTAAAAAGCAAGTAGACTCTTAAACCGGTACTCTGCAAATTTATCCAGGGTGTTGAAAATTTTTTTAATCCTGTTCCTTACCATTAGGGAACCAGCGAGGAAATCAGTCCATGGTAACTTGGTTCTTTTTCAGGGTTTTTCCCCTGGTCTGAGGTGAGGAGAAGGTTGCCTAGAGGAACTAATTTACTTGCTTGTCCTTCCTAAGTCTACAGCACAAGGGAGGAGTAAGGGAAGGGGAACCTCTTTTTAGTGTCCAGTCACAACCTCAGGGCCCTTGAGGCGCATAGCACAGGCAAGGTAGAAACAAGGACCTTAGACTTATGTGGCCTCTGAACTATGAACAGATCCCCGCCCCCAACTCTTCTGGAGGCACAGCCAGGGCAGGGGTCCCCAACCCCTGGGCTGTGGACCAGTACTGGTCTGGTGGCCTTTTAGGAACTGGGCCACACAGCAGGAGGTGAGTGGTGGATAAGCAAGCGAAACTTCATCTGTATTTGCAGCCACTCCCTAGCACTAGAATCATTGCCTCAGCTCCACCTCAGATCATCAGACATTGGATTCTCATTGGAGCACTGGTCCCTGGTGCCAAAAAGGTTGGGGACCGCTGCTCTAGGGTCTCAGTTTGTTTTCCCTCTTTTGGCTCTGGTGTTTACCTCCTGCTTCTGTGGAAGACTGAGAGAAAAATCCTCCTAAGTTCTAAACTGTGTGACTTGCCGACACGTCCTGAGGGAAAGGTAGACAGTGCTATGTTCTTAGCTTGCCTCTAGAGCGGCCCCTCTGAAAAGTGTCTTTTAATGCCTAATCTTTACAGAGGTTTCCATCCTGGTCATTTAAA